CCAAGAAGCAAGGCAGAACCGAATTCGAATGCAGGTTAAAGGACAACGCTATCACCATTGTTCGCGGTATAAATCTGGAGCACAGCTTCCCGGATACCCTAGACATTAGCTCTAGCCACAAAAGAGTGGCAGTCACAACGAACGCCACCCTGCACCTTGTGTGTTGACAGCCTGATGCGCTCACTAAACGGTTTCGAAAATCTTACTTACGGCCGCTTTTAGAAGTTTTCAGCACAGTAGAACTGCCAACAATCAAGACAGACTCCATTCTCCTGAGAAAATACGAAGACCTGAAGAAAAGTTAGTTACGAAAATAAGGTGGAGGACGAAATTTAACAGACCGAGGTACCGAAACCTGTTCTTTATGAGCTGCCGTAGAAAGGGTTGTGACCTTACTACGACTTAGGAGATCAGGCAAGTCATGTGAACCAACTTGCCTTATCTGCAACATGGCGGCCTTAGGAAGCAATCTAATCTGGATATCAAATCAGGGAAATAATATTTTCTCTCTGTAAGTATGTGTGCCCTTGCGGAATGCTGTATTGAGAGAAGCGAAAGCAGTCCACTTGGTAGACTATATCGAAATGTGGTTAAACGATTCTGTCAGTAAACAAGTTTTGCCATAGACATACTGAGGGCACTATTGAATTCACTAGCCAGCAGCCACTTCTTAAATACTCGCAACTCATCATGGTTCTATTTCTGATACACGTGATGTTACCGAAAAATCACTGAGTAACGTGTAATAAAGATATGAGTCTCCGAAGTTCCCAAACCCAAAGCGAAACCAACTAAATCTAAAACATTTGGCTGCCAGACAAGGTATGTATGTTCAAATTGCAAGTGAACTCTGTTGAGATTGTTCTTTACGGCTAAATTAACGCACAAGATTTAGTTACAAACACTTGTTTATCCTTCACCCAGTCTAATGACAATCTCCAAGGGTGTCTGTGTGGTTTGAAGCATGAATGTCAGCGGCCTGGCTCAAGTGATGGTTTGTGAGCTCTGGTCATAATAGACCCAATGATCCTGTGATCCTAGCCAGACTTCAGGTTATTATGAAACACTGCTAAATATCCCATTTGTCAATGTTTTAGGACAGATAGTGAAAGGTCAAGTGGGCTGATAGCTGGTTAGACCGAACTCTGGTCACTTTGCAGCTGGAATCTCTGCACTGCTAGCTTTGATCAGAAGAAGATGCACAGTCCCCGAAAGGTCCCTAAAGTCAACAGTAAGGAAAGTTTCAGCCTTGCAAGTCTCTCTCCTGTAAGCACCAGTTCCAATACGCTTTGCGCAATTGGAGGTGGGAACAAAATCACTCTGGTTAGTGGCTGCATCCCCGTTAGCGTACCAATGCAGCAGACCCCCTCAGTGACTAATCTAAATCCCATATTTGGCAAGCGTCGAAAGAAAGGTTTGAAGAGATGCGAGCAGGCTAGAGTGGTTAGAAATGCAACCTTAGGAAACGGTAGTAAACTTGGCAGAGTAGCCGCTTCTGTTTCAGCCCAGCTGGAAGCCAAATATTAAGTCGACCATTTCTCCTTCTACTGAAGAGTAAAACGATCCAAGGAAATAGATCTCAGTCCCGCTGCCCGACAGCCCATGGGATTTGCTTTCACAGAATTAGCACTAAAGACGTACTCTGGTATAGCACAATGTGCGTGGAAGTCCCTGTTTGGTTGGGACTTTTATACTGCCCTCTTTCAGCCAATGCCGAGTTAAATAAGATGTTGATTCAATCCACAGAAGGAGCTCCAGAACCTAACTTTCCAATGGTCCTCTATGTGGGTGGTTTTAGCTCCCCTACAACTTCGTCTGCTGCTTTGAGATATTTTCGGGAATTATTGGGGGGAAACCTTTTAAGTGGACATGTTTCTCAGTTCGTTCGCTGGATGTTTGACGGTAGGGCTAGATTATATTTTCGCAACTCAGTTCCATGGGTAACCAACTTAAATATTCCTAGCTCTCTTGGGTTGCGTGACCATGCGTTGTTTCCTCCAGCATTTCTATATCCAAGTCACCTGATCTTGGTCAGTCATGGTCAGGAATTATAGGGGAACTGTTTTTGAACTGCTTTGGCGAGATATAGACGGTTCTATTTGCCCGAATTGCGGTGAACTACTGGATCTGGATTCCAGAACGGATGTGCTGGGGGCACAGTCCTTCAATCGATAAATCATAAAACTCCCCTGATTCCTCGAATGACCAAAACGTTTTGCTCCTACCGGCTAAAGTTAGGCACGCACAAACTTGTGCGGCTTGAAAGTTCGTCTTGGAATCAATAGAGGATCACTCATAGTTCTATCGACTGACCGCCACAAATGTATGATGAGAATCAGAAGTGACAGAGTAAAATACCAGATATATCTGCGTAGAACCCTGAAGGGGAATCAAAAGATATTGTGCTTGCTGATGGAACAGGAGTAACGGTTCACTCAGTATGCAGGACCCTAGAAGTTTAGAGGCTGTGAGGTAACAAACCTACTAGCTCAGGAACTCCAAAACAACTTCCATCGGTTGGGAGGGACAACGAAGTACCTGTCGGAAATTTGTATTACAGAGGGGTTAAGCTTTCTATAACTAAGGGACTCTTGACGAACTTGACCCCGAATAAATCTTCAGAAATTGGTGTGATCCACCCAAGAGAACTCAAAAAGTGTGCTGATCTTCTGAGTCCACCACTAGCGAACGTCTTCACATTCTGGTTTCTGGAAGGCGTGTTACCCACTGATTGGAAGCAGGTGGCTGCCATCTCAGCATTTTAGGATGGAAACCAACTATTCACCTTTAACTGTATACTAATCTCCTTCATCCCTCCAATTACGAAGGTCAGGGAAAGATTAATAAATGACTTACTTCGTCGTTACTTCCTCTAGAATTCCATCTTAAACGACTGTCAACACGCCTTTCGTCTGGAAGATACTCTGGTACCAGCTTGCTGATAGCTTGAAATACCTGGACACTCTCTGTGAGCAGATAAAGCCCATTCGCACTGGTTTATTTGAATTCTCCAAGGTCTTCAGCGGGGTAAAGTACGATGTCTTTTTTAAGAGACTGCAGCTTATTGGCGCGCACGGAAAATTACTAATGTGGCTTAGAGAATATCCTAACACCAGGTTGCAGTCAGCTAGAGTCGGCTGCTCTTTATCCGATAGTTCCATGATGCTGAGTGGTGCGCCTAATTGTTTTACTCTGGGTCTACTACTGTTTGTCACTCTCACCGAAACCTACCAGGATCCCTCACTTCTCACTCACTATTATATCATCTGACGATTTGGAGAGAAATATAGGGGCCAATAGATGTTTTACTTCTCCGCAAGACCTTACGAAAATCTTGATTTGAACCACAAAAACACCCACTCAGTTAGAAGTGTACGGCAATGATAGCTGACATGTATAAAAACAGTTTCAGTTCTAACCCTCTGGGGAAAATAAATATCGGCTTTGAGTGACACGCTTGGAGCTACGATCCACCGCCGCCTTGAGGCCAATGAGGCCCGTAGAGTGTTCCGTCAATTTCAGGGAGCCTAACTCCTTCCCTTCTCACTACAATGTACGGACCATACATGCACTCCCATCTTAAGAAAATATCTTTCATGATGTCCCCATACTTGAAGAAGATCACAGTCATCCCAGGACGGTTTCGGAGTAGGGCTGGCAAAGAGGTGATTGGGTGACGGTACAAGGCTTACCTAAATCCCCTAGCTGCCCTTAAGCTTTATCCAATAAAATACCTGAAGGCCAGAGGAGATGTGACCATGGTGTACCACATCGCCATAATCCTCTCCACCGTAACGGACTCCATTATGTCCTAAATAAAAAACGCCACCTTGAGGGTCACCCGTCAAGGATAGAGCATGAGATAACACGCATAAAGATCCATGCTGGCTTGTTTACAGTTAGTGAACTGTGGAACTCCTTTCCTTCAGCTGTTGTTACAGTCCCATCCCTGGTCCTATTGTAGCGTCACAGTGGACGGAAAGTCAAAGGGAACTTAGGACCACGATCGACGTACAATTCAATTTATTGTATTTTATGTTTCAATTGCTACAACACCCTACAGTAAGTTCAGACAACCATGGGGCCACTTCTCGCAGTGAGCCCATCAGAAGAGTTTTACCAGTGGAGGAACAACTGGGTTTTTACTCCCGGCTGGTGTTGTCTCAGAATCATCACGAACCCACTAGTGTGTGGGGGGGGGTGATCTATAGCGTCCCACACTCCCTCAAGATCAATAGCCCAGAGTTCGACGATATTCAACATTGATGCTGACCTTGAAAGTTTAGCTGGGCTCGCTAGGCTGAAGGCACCCGCTCAAGCATCCTCCCCATTTGATACGCTGTCGTGTTACATTGCACTGCTCGTATTCGCCTCTCTAGCCAGTTAGTTGGAACGCATCGGTATCTTGGCACAACTACCCGAATATAATATTCCATCCGACTACGCTATCGTGTTCCTTCTTGTTCTCATATTCGTGGGTATATAACAAGTCCGAATAATTAGTGATTGGTCTTTGCGTCTGTCAAGTTCGTACCAGGACAATTCCTAAACTATCAAGAGGAGGTCAGATACACAGTCAGAGTTCCGTGGTGCAGATAGGCTGTACTCGAGAGGCTTTACACCATCTACAGATTGAGAAGAGTAATGCTACCTTGAGATCAGACCAATTTATAAACTATTATTTCCATACTTACAGGTTTTTCGGGAACAGGAAGGTGATCGTGACCAACCCGAACCTAGAACGTGCTCCAATAAGACAGGCGTACTAGTCAAGGAACCACTGTTCAGTAATTCTACAACATGAAGTTTGAAGTCCCCACTGTCGGATGCTGAGTATTGGTTTAAATATTTTATCCCTCGTGTACAATCGCGCTAAGCCCCTAATAGGTACTGAAGTCACCAAATTAGAGTTTTTTCTAACTAATTGAAAGCATTTTCAAACCACCAGAGTTTTCCAAATGCCTAACTTGTGAAAATGTATGTTTTGTTTAAGTACACACACTTCAAAAAAGTGAGGCAAAACAAATTGATCATTTGTTTTCGATGTGATGTCTGTAACTATTGTCAGAATCACTTCCAGAGCTGGACTTCAGTATGAAGGAGCACTTCACAGCGTAGACGATAAACATTGCACTGTTACGTTAAAGAAAGGTAAACTGTAAAGTAGCTATTATTATGTGGATAGTTCGATTGTGCAATATGCCTGTGACAGATTGCACATTGCCAAAGAACATAGACTATGTTATTTTTCGAAGTTCAGATATTGATGATGTTCAGCTATCTTCCGCTACACATGTCGATCCAATGATCCTGAATGACTCTGCAATCGTCAGTGTAATGCAATAATTAATCACCAATTACCTTATAAAATTCATTTCAGGTTATTCACGCTGATGACTCGGATGATTCTTCAGAAAATGCGTGAGTCATCCTATTTGAATGTTTGCTGTTGACCCGACCCCCATAAAAATTGCTGTTAACAGGCGAGTCCATGCGCATTCCTGTTTATTTCGGCATGCTAGTACATGTAAACGTTGACTTTCCTTGTTGACTGTGCCAGCTAAGTTTCGTTTAGCTTTCATCTCTTTTTAAGGAGTTCCATTGAACACTGATGTTTTCTTTCAGTGAAATAATTCGTGGCGTAATGTAACATGGAATACGTGAGTCATAAATCTTATGATTCCTGACTCATGTGCTGCATTTCGGGATCAAACTTTTGGGGCTAGAAAGTTTAATTTACCTTCGCTAGTCTTCAAGTGTTTCCAACTGATAGGTGTTATTTTCAATTTTTGTATATCCGTGCAATCGAATCGTAACGTATATTGCGAAATCTAGGGCTAGCTTTCAAGAGTTGATTGCTTAATTAAAAAATAACAAGCCCAAGCTGATGTGCCTTCCAAACTAGTTCTATATCTATTTTGATATTACCACCAGAAGCAAGACAAAATCCCACGTATTCGACAGAAAGTTGGATTCAGATCTATTGCTTGAGGATAGAGGGCTATGAATCTGTATCAGTCCTCTTCCAGTAGATCTCCGCTCTTGTGCAGTCCTCTTTTGAATGAGTCACTTGATGATTCGGACACCGCTTCTTCTGGTAGTCAGTTTTAGAAGTTGATTGTTTGACGCGAAAACCAGCACTGTGTAAAAATTACGTTCCTTTTTTGCTTTTTTACCCTCTTCTGGGGTGTTGTAGTCCAGTAGGGAGGAAAAGAGAAGATAGGTTTGGTCCAAAGTCCTTACTTGTAATCCTGTATGGTATGATGTCCGTTCTGCCTGTGATAGAACAAAGAGAAGAAGTTCAGCCTTCGAAGTTGATTTTCATAGATTAAGCCAGATATTGGAAGAATCATAAGAGAGGCCATTCTCTGACCTCTTTTTAGAAGGTCTGAGTTACGCTTCAGACGAATTCTACAAGCTGAGCGCAGTTTTCTAGTCTAGATCTAACTAAGGATGTGTAGAAGATGGTGAACATATCACAGCTTATTTTGTAAACGTTCTGCATAGTGCCTATAGTATCCTAAAACTCCAAGCTGTTGCCAATCGAAAAAGTGCCACAGTTTTCAAATCATGACTCACTGTGACTCCTAGATCATTGCTGGTCAGTACTGAGGATAGAGAAGTCCCACCAATATCGCAGGTATTACCATCTTTGTGTCTCATGCCGACGCTCATACATTCATCTGGGTTGATAGGCATAAGTTACTCATCTGACCAGGTAAACAAGCTGTCTGAGTCTGTCTAAGATGCATGCATATCCTCCTCATTTCTACTTTCCAGCCAAACCTTTATATCATCAGCATAGAGAACTATAGCAAGTTTCGTGATATTTGGAAGCTTATTTAAGTATATGAGAAATAGTAGTGGACCCAAGACTGTGCATTGCAGAACTCCACTCTCTACCAACTTACAAGAATATGGTCGAGGACTGATCCTTATCCTTTGTCTCCCACCAACGGAAAACTCTTTAACCCATGTAAACAGATTGCTAGTGATTCCAAAACTGCCCAGTTTCCTGAGAAACCTGGAGTAAGATACCTTGTCGAACGCCTTACTAAAGTCTGTAAAAATGACATCTAAGGATATCCTATCATCTTCAAACTTAAAACAACTTTCTCTGACCGTTAAAAGGCTTGTCAAGCAAGAGAAATCTCAGAGAAAGCCATGTTGCTTACGAGATAATTCAGCGTTGTTGTCTAATGGCTTTCTTGACTGCTCTTTCTAGGATTTTTACTACAGTACTAGTTAGACTTAACGTTCTGTAATTTAGTGTGTGCGGCCTAAAACCTGTCCAGTATATAGATGTGGCTATGACATCCTTCCAATCATAAGGGAGTTTGCCTTCACTAAGGGAAAGTTTAAATGTAGTAGTCTGTGAGTCAGTTACATAGAGTGAAAGCTGTCTGAGCAGCCTTGAGTGCAGCTCTCCGGTTCCGTTGATTTTTCTATATCAAGAGTACTCAATGTCTAGAATACATTGCTGTTATCGATATCTCAAAAGTTTATTTCAGACTTTGCAGTGCTTCATCACCTTGCAGTACTGAGGTGGGTGGCAAGACTCTAACGCTTTTTCTTGCATCATAGCAAAATTCGAATTTTGTGGTTTATCCACGGAGGACAGTGTTTCTGTCCCTTAGAAACAGTCCCTGGAATGAACAGTTTAGTCGCTGATGCTTGTGACCGTTTAAAGGAGTACCACTTAGCCTCAACTGAGGCTTCTGGATTGATTGTCCAGTCTTTTGAAGGGACTGTTATATTCGCTTTCCATATATTGGGTCTAGCTGGGGCATCGATCTGGCAGAAGCCGGTTTGCGTGAACGTAAGGATGATCACAGCATTATCACCTTTATCAAGCATATATAGTCTGTTTGAGAATAATAAGCATAGAACTGATGGAGCATGCTAATGATCGTATCTGGGTGGTTTTCTAGTGTGTTGTATAAGGGCTAAGGAGACCGATGTTTTCACCAACCTATGAGCAAACAAGTTACGTGGTTCTTCTGTTGTTAGTCTATTACAGTCAACTAATGAGACATTGAAGTCTAATACAACTAGGCATAAAGAGCTATCTCTCCAGAGGATCGGCTTGTTCAGAAGAAAGTCTGCTGCCTCACATTCAAGGTTTCGATACAATTTGATTAAGATAACACCTTATCCCTTGAAGTTTAGTCGGCTGAGTAACATTTAACATGTCCCTTTTTCAAACACAGCCATTTTTATGGCTTTGACAGTTAAGGCATTATTAAAGTAAAGGTTGGTGCTAACCTATCATTTCTTAAAGGAGCGAATCCTCATAAATGTGCCTCACTGTCACTGGTCTCAGAAGAAAGCCAAGTTTCCGAGATAACAATGACTTCCTATCCATACAGGCTTCGGCATCAAATGTTGCCAAAACCTCACTATATGGAGACTCACCAGTTTTAGATCTTGCTTTTCTATTGCTAATCTTGGTCTTAGTTCTCCTTTTGCTTCCCGTTTTGTGACCTGATCAGCAAGAGCCAAATCCTTATACAGGAATGCTCCAGTTCCTTGAAGTTTACGAGCATTCGTCAGAATGTGATCTCTCTCCTCTATTGATTTGAACATGACTTTAAGTAGTCGAAAGCTGTTTTCAGTAGAGACTATCTCCTTTTTGCCTACTCTATATGTCTTGAGTATTGTAACTTCTCGTATGTTTTCCGGTAAAAGCATGTTTATCAAACTTTGTACCTTAGCAAGATCACGTTCAAAACGCTTACTTAGCTCTGCGTCTCTGCTTCCTTCCACTTTGTGGAAGAGAACAGACCTAATAAAGAGTTTAACTTTATTTTTGCAATGTGGAGTGATGACAGTGGGTTTGATGACCGTTAATGGCTTTTTATCATGACGAACTAGGATGTGTTGGTTTTTTACTAATAATCCTTTGTTCTCGATATGAGTTTGAATATTAGTCATAATTTAAGCTAAGGCTAAAGACAGGTTAGTGAAAAGACTACTAAATTAATATGACGAACACAAGACCTATTTTCCTGTCATTCGGTTTGTAAACAAAGAACCAGACCAAATCATTTTAGAGTGCATTTATCACACTTTTCGTGTTACTTAATTCTCACTGTTTTCATAAATTTTTGTCTACTGTGTCTGCGATTTCCTCTTATATCAGGCGTAATTTCCTTCCTTATATCTGGCTCAGTCTCAATTTTCACCACTGTGCAAGATTTTAAGAGAGGTGAATTATTGGTTTTGGATGTGAATTTATTTGTCTTATCTGCTGTTTTTCAACTAACTGTTTTCAAAATATCATCACATATTTCACTAAAGTTGGTACCTATTATTTGTTTGACAGTCTCCAGATTTTTTTTGTGATTGGATTGCAACAGAGTTTTCTTCATATTAGAAAATGACTGTTAATACATATTTTAAAGTTTGAGAGCACGCAGTTGCATGATATGTGAAGTAAAAAATAACAGTTTTATTGTTCTCTCTGCAATAACGGTATTTGCTGGTCAAATGTTATGGTGATAATAAGATGCTTATAAAAGCCAGCAGCTCCTTACTTACTGTGTACTCAAATCACATACTCAGTGCTTTGAATACTGGCCTACTTCCACCATTAAATCTATAAAGTGTTTTAATCCGGTACTTTGTTAACTCCAGGCGATTTGACCGAGGCCGGTCAAAGGCATTTTGAGGAAGCATTCGGTAAAGTTTATAGGTCAGTGTCAAAGTGAAATTAGATGGGACTTTTTGATAATCATTTCTGAAACTGTCCGTCGCTCCTGAGATAGCTACCAAATTGCAGCCTGAAAACAAAGTAAAGAAAACATACAGTGTGTAATTCCTATCTTGACATTAAAAGTATTTTTTAAACTAGCTAGTTCTTTATGAACTTAGTGGTTGTTACCGAGTTTCGCTTACTCTTATCGTAGATACGACAGTATTGTAGAATAAAGCTTTGATTAATGTGTTTTGCTGGACGAGAATCTGAGGATAAAAAGTGACCCATCATTTAATAAGAGTTTGTAAGGTATCTGACCCAGATGAAAGTCAACAAAGTATCAAATCAATAATTTTGACCGTGTAAATGAGTCTTCCGCGTGGTGTAATTACTTCAGAAGCGTTATCTACAAGTAATTATTCATCCAATTCAGGCCCATTAAGTTGCAGCCTTTTCAGTATTTTTACCAGCCAGAATATTTTTTTGGAGAAACCTCATTAGATGGTTAGCAGAATCATTTTTGTTAGGCACATAATTGTACAGTAAGTTGTTGCAGCACTAGGTGACGTAAAATTGGTTTCCAGAAGGGCCATAACTTCCCTCAAAGTTACAGATACGCATTGCATGCAGGCAGGAAAACTAGGTCGAAGACTTCCTGTTGATTGCCTCCAACCAACTAACATCCATCGGAGATAACTAATACTGAATAAAAAGTACTTAAAATTACTTAAAAGTCTGTACGAAACAAAATTATGATTTGAGGTACAAACTGGAGTCAAAACTTGGATAAGAAAAGGGAAAGAGCGATTTTAACTCTGTTATTCTTTATGATGCGCTCTGACCAACACTATTTAGTCATAGTTGATTATTGGTAAGTAGTGAATGGTAAAAAACATAACCTTATCTTTAGTAATGAAGAAACATTGTTCTTCGAACGTGAGGTAATTTAAATATATAACTTTTAAGCATCAGGAAAGATAATCAGATTTAATTAGAAAGCCAATGTAAGTAGGTGAATCGAGGTTTCTTGTAGATTTCCAAACTTTTTGTGGTGTTGAAACAGTAAGCTACTGGTAGGTTATCCGATGCAATCTTAGAGCTTTTTAAAGACATGATCCCTCATGGTCTTTAACGAGTTGACAAATAAATTTTACCAGAGTGAATATCAGGTTGGCTTAAAAGTGAGTGCTATAAGTCTCGATGAGAAGCAGAAATGAGAAGTAATTACATTGTTGACTTCGCCATTTACAAAAGTGTGTAAAAGAAATGTAGACAAGCAGTAAGTAATTCTGACAGATGTGATTATTATACTATTAATCTTACTTGTCAGCTATATTGCCGGTGCACTGCCTACAAAACTTGTATTTTGTTAGCTAAGTACCACTTAATGGATTTACAGAATATTATTCTTTGTTAGCATTCACGATAAGCTACAGATTTGTAAACTACATTTTGTTGGCAGACGTTATCACTGTTTTATTTCAATCATCCTTCTAGTTTTCTAAAGCATGATCCAAGCATCGTGAAATTTCAGCGTACAAATCTCAGTTCCAATCATATGTCTTTGACTGACCCAAAGTCTTCAGCAGAATTAGATACAAATGAAGGAGACCGTAATAAGCCAGTTTGTAGATTTGGTAAGATCCTATTTAATAGTCTGCTACTAGTTATTTTCTAGACAGAGAAGTGAATTATCAACAAACTTCAAGTGAAAAGCCTATATATCCCAATTCGGAAATGATTACGTCTGTTAACTTAGTAAATAAAAAAAACAAATCAAAGAGGTTTGTTTTTCTTTCAGACTGACTGGCTTAAAACAAAAAATCCTTGCATTTTTGTAGCTACTTTTTTGGGTTGGAATGAAATTTACTAACTAGGATGCATTTTTGGGTCTCATTTATTATCGGTTTCCACTTATCTTATCAGGACTGTTTCCGCTTCTCATATATAAGTATATTATATGCACTTCTGCTTAAAGTCCTGCTACATGAAAATCATCAAGCAGAACTGACCGGTATGATATCATATCTACGTATAACTAAAACAATTTTACACTTTTAGGTCATGGTAAAATTATTTTGCAATGAAGAAAATTATTATGCTGCTAACTTTTCTCACAACCACGAGCACACTGAGGGAGTGGCTATCATGATGTCCTCAAGAGCATCGAAGGCTCTCATGCAGTGGGAACCAATCTCCTCCAGGATCATGACAGCAAGATTCAACTCAAAAAGAAGGAAGGTCACAATCATACAGTGCTACACTATGCACCTACAAATAATGCAGAGCAAGAGAAAAAGGAGGATTTCTACAGACAACTTCAATCAACACTGGACAAGACGCCAGTTGGCGATATCAAAATTCGAATGGGTGGGGGGACATGAATGCCAAACTGGGAGGGGACAACACGGGAAGAGAACTAACCATGGGTCGAGAGGCGCTAGGTGAGGTGATGAACGAGAATGGAGAATTGTTTGCAGAATTCTGTGCATTCAACAATTTGGTGATTGGAGGCAGTGTGTTCAGGCACAAGGATATCCACAAAGCGACATGGATTTCACCAGATGGACACACTAAAAACCAAATCGACTTTATCTCAATCTCATGAAAATGGAGACGCAGTCTACTTAACACAAGGTCAAGAAGAGGAGCAGATGTAGGCTCAGACCACTATCTAGTGCAAGGAACCTTCCAAATCAAGTTAAAAGCCTTCAAGGAAATTGGTGATAGACCACAGTTCAAGTACAACACTTGGAAACTGCAGGATGAAACTACAAAGGAGATCTTCAAGGCAGCCATCAAGACAAAATGGGAGACATCGAGGAACATCCCTGAAGAAACCTGTGTGGATGAACACTGGAACTCTTTGAAAGCTATGTGGAAAGAAACCTGCACAACAGTATTAGGAAGGAAGAAGAAAGAAGACAAGGAATGGATCTCGACAGATACCTGGGAGCTGATAGAGGAGAGGAGGATGGTGAAGCAGAAGATAAACCAGTGCAAGGATGCTCAACGACAAGAGGAACTGAGCACAATGTATAAAACACTGAACAAAGAAGTGAAGAAGAGTGCACGCAAAGACAAAAGACACTTCTACGAAACACTGGCAAATGAAGCAGAACAGGCTGCAGGTAAGAGAGACCTGACGACATTGTATCAAATAACCAGGTTGCTTTGTGAGAGGGGAAGAGACCAACACAGATGAAAACAATAAAAGATGAAGAAGGAAATTTAATTACAAAAGAAGAGAAACAGAGGAAACGATGGGCCGACCACTTCAAGAAGCTCTTGAATCGACCACCACCTGCACTTCGTCCAGAAATACCACCTGCAGCCGCTGAATTACAAGTGAAAATAAATCCCCAACGAAAATGGAAGTCCTGAACGCCATAATGCTACTGAAATGCAGGAAAACAGCAGGACCAGATAGGATCACGACAGAAGCACTGAAAACAGACGCAAAGATGACAGCGGACATGCTCACACCACACCACTATTGCAGAAGGTGTGGAAGGGAGGGAAGGTATCTGACGACTGGAAGAAGGGACACCTTGTCAAACTCCCGAGGAAAGGAGACGTCAGTGTTTGCAAGAACTGGCGTGGAATTACTCTCCTGTCCACCCAGAGCAAGCAAAATATTAAACCGCATCATCCTGGAGAGACTAAAGAATTTACTAGATTCAAAACTTTGACCGGAACAGGCTGGCTGGCTGGGTGGATTCAGGAAGTACAAATCATGTGCAGACCAAATTGCAACGCTACACTACGCATCATCATAGAACAGAGCATAGAATGGCAATCAGCTCTCTACCTCAACTTCATCGACTTTGAGAAGGCCTTTGACAGCGTCGACCGACAAGTAATTTGGAAACTGCTTCGCTACTACGGAGTGCCGCAAACCTTTATCCGCCTCATTCAACAACTATATGAAGATGCCACATGCCAAGTGATTCACAGTGGGAAGCTCAGTGATGCTTTTGAAGTGAAGACAGGAGTGAAGCAAGGTTGCCTACTATCCCCCATGATATTCCTGATTGTGGTGGACTAGATCATGCAACAAACAGTGGGAGCGAGAAGAGGGGGATACGCTGGCTGGACTGTGGAAAAGAACCTAGAAGATCTGGATTTCGCCAGTGATGACTTGTGCCTAATGTCACATAAACTTGAAGATCTACAGGCAAAAACTAACAAGCTGGCAGAAGAGGCAGGGCAGCGAAGACGGGACTTCAAGTGAATATAGAGAAGACAGAAGTGATGAAGATACCGCACCAACAACTCCAACAACAACAAACTCCGATCACCATCAACGAGATAAACTGAAGGGAAGTAACCTCCTTCACCTATCTAGGAAGCACTGCTTCAACTACAGGCAGCACAGGCACAGACGAGAATGTCAAAGTCAGAATCGGAAAAGCAAGACAGGCGTTCATTAGCCTGAAATTAGTGTGGAGATCTTCTGCACTCAGCATGCGGAACAAGATACGGATTTTCAACACCAACGTCAAGTCAGTGCTTCTGTATGGTTGAGAGACTTGGCGCGTCACAAAAGGGATTTCCAATAAACTACAGACATTCATCGACAACTGCTTACGCTCGCTACTGAAGATCAGTTGAGATGGCCAGAAAGAATAAGCAACAAGAAGCTCTGGGAACGAACCAACCAAGAACCTATCACTCAACAAATATACAGGAAGAAGTGGAGATGGATTGGCCATGCACTGAGAAGGCCGACGGAGGACATCACGCGTCAGGCCCTCGAGTGAAAATCCCCATGGGAAGTGACGAGTTAGACGTCCCAGCCGAGGGTGACATGGAGGAGGTCGTGCGAGGAGGAAATGAAAGCTTCTGGGCTGTCGTGGAACCAGGTTCAAAAGATCTCAGAGAACAGAGTGGAGTTGAGACGTGCTACTGAAGCCCTATGTCCCACTAGGAACCCAAGGGACTAATAGTAATAGTAATAATAACTTTTCTCAGTCACCTTGGAGTATAGCTATCTAGTAACCACTACGATTTAAAATGTTTCACTTCCAATGTAAAAAATGAAGGTCCATCTTGGTTTGTCTTTCTGTTAGTAAAACTCAAGGATTTTATTTGGAAAATTGTTCTTATTCTTATTACTTCAGTTAAGGTAGTATGATAGTATTACTTCACCACACACATATGTTTATTGCGTTTAGAAAATCAAAAACAAGATATATATATATATATATATATATATATATATATATATATATACTCGTAGATCAATTGTGGTATAGTGGATAAAATTAGATGCAATTATTCGTTTACCTCTTCATTCACAAGTGACTTTCAGCCTCCCATGGTGTTTAAGACATACATCTAGGCTATGCTAGCGTTCACAAATAAACCAGTCAACCTATTATTATGTATCCAGTTACTATTTAATAGGTTTTCTCCATAAACTTCACGATTACTGCGATAACTGGTTCGGTTTTGTAAGTGTATAGTCTGAAGAGAATTTACTAAAAAGTATATTCTTCTATGAAGTTAACTTCTAAATATATAATCAAGGTTTTTTAAAGCAGTAATATTCACTTAAAATACTTCAATTTACTCGAGATTTCTACTCTTCACAGTTTAGATAGAAACGTTAATTTATTTCAACAACTGCAGTCATCCGGATGTAGGCACTTCAGTCTTGAGCGACACGCGATTAATAGTAAGTTTTATCCCAATAAATTTAATAAGAATTGAATTTTTCTGTGGTTTTCATATGGACTGTTTTTTCTACTTCATAGCAAATCTACTTCTTAAATGCAATTAATGTTGATAAGAATATGATTACTTATAATTACCAGTAATTTTTATGTCGATGATTTGAAATCCAGTCAAGAATAGAAAGCTGAATGTAGATATTCAGACCAAGTTGTGATTCAAAAATGTTATGAAAACGTTCGGGCAGATAATTAAATGACATTCTAAAAATTTGTACTGGGTCCTGATTTTCGTCTCACCTTCAATCGTCACCCAGTACAAATATTAGTTTGACAAACTACGGCTATCTTAGATAATCGAATCATAATTCTAAAAATTGTCATTTGTATTTCAATGAAAAATACAAATACCAAAATAATAAAAACATTGTATGGTTAATCAATAGAAAATTTAGTATTCCCAATGTCATAACTGCAGTCACACTCATTTGGAACCATGGTGTTTTGAAGACATTCATTATCCCTTAATCTTATTTGAAAATTGTCAAGCATTGTTTGACACAAAAACTACAAAGTGATGCCCGAGAATCGGGAACAAGAGAAAAAAGCCGACTGGTTTCACTAAGCTGTAGTGTCTTGTTTCGTTTTATTACTCGTAATTTCGAAATAGTAGCTGATCAGTCACTTTTCGTGTATTATCAGAAATAAGGTTAACTGCAAGTTTCCTGTTTTATATCATTTCATTTCTTCATTGATCTTATTTTGAAGATCTTTTGCATTGTACACTTTTTTAATTACCCAATACAAATCGGAATCAAATAGAATGGTCCATCTTTGCAGAATGGTTTGAATGTAATTTTTGGACCTAGTTGATTTTTCCCATAAAATTTATTTTCGAAATGACTACTTTTACTTGAGCATATAATCTGGAAGAATTTTGATTCAAGCTTCGAACTTCTGTCTTAGAATTTTGAAGATTTGTCATCTACACTCTTAGTTGCAGAGATCGAACACCATGAGAAAGTTCATAAGTTTAACTTGTTATACATTTCAGTAACACTCAATTGAGGTAAAAATATGCTAAAATTGAACACTAGTTATATGATGCAGACTGAATGGTGTATTACGAGTATTATTATATTCAAAATTTTAGTAGTTAACAGAAGATGCATATGTACGAAACATTCTGTTTGAGTTCTAGCCATGCCACTGAGAGTTTCGTAATACCCGTCCCTGAAATTTCGACTACCTGAACACCGTTAAGTGACGCTTTCGAATATGCCTTGTACAAGCAGCTAGGTACTTCTAAAGGTAGGAGAATCATACTTCTAGGTAGCCATAAGGAAACGTGTCAAAGTATTAAGGCCAATTCTTACAAGATTTTATGAGATTTAAGCTCGAAGTCTTACGTTAAATTTATGGTGCTGTTGCCTTATCTGACAGTTCACAGATCCATTCAAATGTTTTTGACAAGATTATCTGCTAGCTGAAATATAAATTTTTTAGAAACTAGGTGCACATATAATAAATTCTGGTTTGTTCATAACGTTAGTCAGTTATCTCAGAACTAGTCGAAAGAGTAGTAATCGAAAAGCCCCTTTAGTGTTGCTTTGAATTAAAGCTGCACGTTCTTAATGGTTACTACTCCCTGTTGGTTGATTCCTAACTAATAACACTAAATAATAATTTTTGACGCTGCTTAGAATTCATTAGCAGATGATAATAATAAAAAGCCAAACCATTGTAACTACATCGTATCTAACTGTAGGTGGTAAACCGTTCTTTATTTGGAATCATAAAACTAATACAATCTTCACTAGTGTTTGAGTTTTAACTAGCTTATAAATTTTGGGTCTACCAAATATCCCTTGGTGTTCTGTAAAAAGTAACATTGTTGTAGATTATGATCGCTGCATCTCTTTACCGAAAGAATATTTTGTGAAACTAAAAGACTGTGTGTATCAGTTCGATACTGTGGTAGTGGAAATGTGGTCTGACTCAAAAATGCTTTCTAGGATGAAATCTCTCAGTATTCAGTGAACGACCTGCTCATCTGGAAGTTTTGCAACTCAGCCGGATTACAAATTTACGAATCAAATATATCCCGTTACCAAAGTTACCTATTTTAAAGATATCAGAAAATGTAAAATTACTATGATTGACTTGAAAATTGTACACATAACTGCAGTCGTTCTGTATTTTCAGGATGTGATTTGACTACCAGAATATCTCTGACTGTAAATTGTCCAGCATCATATTACAGTGCATCGGTTCCGTGTACGACGCTTGTTAGAGAGCAGAGTAAACGCGAACCAATGGTACACGTATAGAGGGACGGTTAAACTGCAAAAACAGGTAGCGCACAGGAAAATAAGAGACACCAATTTGAATTTTGAAACATGTAGAATACCACCTTCAGTTTACTGAGACAAAAATTATGTCCATGGCAAGACGTTATAACATTTATTGCCTAAAAACAGTGTGATATTTACTGAAGCAAAATATTTGAACTCAGTGAGGCTACCACTATCGTATATTTGAAAACATTTTTCATGAAAAATACCCTTGAAACAGTATTTGCATCTAGTAGCTAACTTGGGGCGTAATGGAAAGACAAGTTTCATGAAATCAAACGTACTACTCAAAGTAGGCAGATTATGAGATGAAGTTTATTTAGGTTCTTGCAAAATAAACAGTTAACTGTAGCTGTACGTTAACTACATCTTGATCCTAAAAACAACAAAATGATTTATGCGGTGACTGAAAATTGGGTGAAAGGTGTGATACAGTCACTTCTGGCATACCATTTTTGATTAATGGGGTTATGTTTTGTAGTTGCAGGTGCATAAAAACAAATTTGCATATAAATAGGCTGTAATTTATGTCTTCTGTTTGGATGCTTATAGATTACAAGTTTTATCCATCTTTGGAACATATCGACACCTTCAGAGCGCATATTACATGTTTCTGGTAAATTAAATTCAAAGTAGACCGTAAGGGTTTTGAAGATGGTAAAATTAATATGAGTTTATCTCATAAAGACCGTCATTTTCGTGTACATTCATTAACCGAAAAATTTCGAATAAGAAGAGTAATCACTTACTGATGATAACTAATATTTAATAGACTAAACTAAATGCCTATTACTACTAACTAATGTTTGCCCCCTTTTTAATAGGTCAGTTCGAAAGTTGAGATCGATAGTTAGTGACTCTGAATGATATGATTAAGAATCATTTTCAGTGGCGCAAGCTAGCATCTTCACATTATTAGTTATATCAAAACTCATGAGTCATTTTGACCCTCAGAGTTTATTATTTTCCCGATTTTAAACGGCCTGGGTACACAGTTTGTAAATTCTGTGTTGTGAATCTTGCTACCCTTCATCCTCATCTACCGATCAGAGGCCCAGTAACTCAGTTGTTTCGCAGTGTTATCAGGTCCAATTAACTGACCGGAATATCAAAAAGTGAGACAATTTTACACATGAAATAGTTTTGTAACTCCTCAGAGAACTTTAATGAGATATAGTTGGCATTATTGCATGAACAGATTTTTATTAAGATTCATTTTAAATTAGATGCATACAAGATGAGCTGTTACTGACAACAGGAGACATTATTTTAAAAAGTAGTTTAAAATACACACTAATAACCAGTAGAAATTCGTATAAGTGGCTGTTGGACGTCAGTTTCACCTGATCTCGAAACTCTTAGGCATCACGCCTGTGTTATCTTTGAAGACTGAACACATACTTCAGAACGCGCAAAAAAATAAACTAGCAATCAAAACACCAGATACATTCTACTAAGTTTACACTACCCTGTTCACTAATGGTGTAAGTTGATTTATATTCAATTGTCAAATTTCCCTAATGCTGTTGCAACCCAAAGCGATGAGTAAAAATAGTTTTGCATTTTCTCTTTCCTAATTAAATATTGTAACAATCGTAGAGTAGAATAGAGCGGAGTCCTACGTTATATGTCCAGCCGTCTATAAGCTTTAGTGTACGTCGCCAAAGCCATTTTCTTGTCTAAAAGTGAAAGCCATAAAAATGAGTGTTTACGCATCCTTTCTCTCGACTTAGTAGTATCTAAAGTGCACTTCTAGATTACCGATTGGGTCTTAAAGTACTACATAAGTGAAGCGAATAGCTCAGTTATATTAAACTGAATAACATTCTGTGATTACATATTTACCCAAGACATATTTCCTAATTTTGGTTCTTTTGAAAACTACATAGGGTCAAGTCAACGAACTTTGGATTCAGTACAGCCGTCTGTTATTATGAAACATGGAAATAGAAAAGAAGTAGACAATAAACATAAGGATATACTAAGACGTCCATTTTTCGACAATTTTTCTTCTGAACCAATTAAGTAAGAAAAATAAACCACATTACTGTTACATTTTCAAATTAATTTGATTTCTCAAGGAATGTGAACAGTCTAGCTGCAAAGATATTTTAACTGCTAAACAAAAGGTATATTTAAAAGTATAGATTTCCTTAAAAGTATCAATGTGTCCTTCTTATGAATGTTTAGGACCACGAAACTCAGATGGAACTGAATTTTATGCTAACTGTCCGAAAGTATCAAATGTCAATAGCACGTACTTAATCGTTAATCTTATTATCATAATGCACAAAATAATGAGTAAACTTCTGCAGCACTTAAACTAGAGTATAGGCTGTTGTTTACCAAGTAACTGAAAATGAACGATTTTAGGCTGGTTTTTACATGAACTGACAGGTGGAAAAGCATTGGAAACCTGGGAGGACTGGACAGCTGTTTTGTTCAAGTATGGGATTCCTAACCAGCCCAAATCCATGACCTTGCCCGGGATCGAACTCAACGCCTTTGGGTTCCACGGCCAGTATGCTACCATTGAGCAGCTGGATAGGAATACAGTGGTGCATATTTCCTAATTCTGTCAGTTCACGATATAATGCGACCTCCATCCAGCGTTGTCGTTGAGTAACTGTCCTAATGTTTTACTTGGTTGGCCCCACGCGTCATGACCTCTGACTGAAACTTCGGGAATCACCTCTCGAAGTTTATCATCAGTAGGCTCTAGATTAGTTCAGTTTTGAGGTTCGTGGGTATCTACTGATTTCATGTTGATATTCATCATAGACCGACATTAGTTGGAGGAACATTGGAAATCTGGGAGCACTGGACAGTGGCTCAGTGATAACAAGCTTGCCCTGGAACCTGAAGGTCCTTGGTTCAGTCCCTGGTGGATGACAGGACGAAACAGCTATGCAGTGCTCCGAAGTTTCCTCCAGCTAATGTCAGTCCATGATGAAACCTGAAACCAATAAATCCCCTCGAAAACCTCAAAACTGAAATAATGCATTTTAGTTTTCGTATGCTGGTATTTTACCTTATTGCATTTTCTATTTTTTCATTGTAACATAGAAAAGAAAAACAGCTGGGGAACAATAAGTTTCTTTTAAGTGCAAATCCGGTACACCATTCCTCCAATCAAGATTTCCCATATCATCTATCTGGCGAAAGAGGTGAAGGAAGGTTCACTAGATTGCCGCTTTATAATCACAGTATTAAGGGAAGAGTTAGAGGGGGAAACCTTTATGATGTGCCACCTTTTGTTCGTCATGTGAATCCCAGTTATTCTTATATTACACCCGTAATGTCGTCACGAGATTACTCAAAAATAGCATATCCTCATACAGTTTCTGACAACTGTCGCAACTGTTTTATTCGTTATTCAAAAGCGCATTGTTAATATGAATATACCCAGCCTTGGAAGGTAAATACCCACCAACCCTTGCCATTGTTTCCTATGAATTAGATATTACAAGTTGGAAACATAAACAGACAGATACTTTTTTGTTGCTTCGTTTCCATTGCAGTTACGTTCATTATGTACGGCTTTTTTTTGTTTGTATCACTTACATGATTGGTGAATATTTGATTCTTTTTGGAAAGTGGTATTGTATAAATAAACAATTTACAAAAAAACTCGAGTATTCTTTGTTTCTCTGTTTGTGTTCATATGTTACTTCCCGATTTCGCATGGATGGACACTAAGTATATGGTTGTAAAAAGCAAAAGTTACTAAAGTTAATTTTACCAAAAATTGGTGAATTCTACTGTGAATTTACAGCAGAATAACGAGTCAAAACTAAGTAGTTATGGACAGTCTTACTGTCCTAAATTTTTGTTGTCACATACTCTCCATTCGTTTAGAAAAAAATTGGAAACTTGAATTCGTACCAGAAATTCTCTGAAGACATTTTCTCATCATTCAGGACTTATGAAAACTTAATAAATTTCAAGGAGGAAGATATGATTTGAAACATTAGTACGCAATTAGTTTGCGACAAAAATGACTTCCACCTCCACCATCTTGAACTAGGGTCTGTCTGCCTTCACTAAGAAGCTGATGAGGTGAAAGTCTTCGACGGTGCTTGATTTTTTTCTTAAAATTTTCATATTATTCAAAAATGATGTAAGCAATTAAATGTTATGCAGAAAAGTTTTCAAACACACAAACAAATCTATACGTATGCAGTTATTGTACAAACGTAACAAAATGTCTCATTTCTTTCAAATATTCTCCACATGACAAACTATTTCCTGATTTAATTCTGAGTTCTAGTTTCAAACCTACCCACGTTTTGGTGGTATATATTGTCAATCATTAAGCATTAGTCAAGCAAAACTTTCGTGACACTGTCTTTGGAAACCCAATGTGAAATACAGAATACATACATATGCATTTAAATTTTAGGTTTTCTGTGTTATTAGCATTTTACGAGGTGATAAAATTGTAATATATAGTACAGACATCAAGTCAAATAGATACTTATTTCATAGAAGAATGTAACGGCATTGATCGCAAGATCTTATTTCACAAGGTAATTAGTTATTATTTATTGCACTAATCAAAGTCAAAACAGTCTATTCGAAAATCGCGATATTTACTGAAAGGAAAAACGTAGGTAATGGAAAGCATTTTGGTGCCAAAATCTCAAAAAAAGAGTCGATGAAGAATAATTTTTCTCAAAGAAAACAGGTATACAGGCGCATAGGATGAACAATTTTCCCTTACTATATGGCGTAGTCATCTTTCATAGGGCAAACGGATACAGAAAAGCTTTTTTTATCAACGAGATTTTTGAAAACTATGCTAGTATGGGTCATCACATCAGATGACCAACAGTCCAAAATAAAAAAGAAACAAAATTTCGACAAAATTTTGATGGATAAGAAATATATAAACTATTTATAATATTATAGTATCTGCTTTATTGAAAACTAAACCTACCAAGGAGTATGGAATCCTCAGAATATAACTGACTGACAAAATAAACATAGAACCCTGCACAGGAATGGATCAGCTCAAGTTGCCACACTTTAGAGTAGCATACAAAAAACAGGTGAATAGAATAAAAGTTCTATCAGAGAAGATGAGACAGCGGGAGAGAAAAAACAATCTGAAGATAAAGGTTAGTGCAAATATATTCCTGGTTTAAATGTCAGAGAGTGAATACGTCTCCGCCATTGTGACCGATTTTCAGACATCTTATCAAGTGTCCTCAACCACTGATTTCTTTCATTTCGGAAACCCCAACCAGGCAGTTTAATTCTCCCCAAACGACTTCAAATAACGGTAAGAGAATCCATCGGGTAATACCAGGTAATAGTAGGAACAGTAATAAGCTGTATTTCTGTGCATTAATGAGTCAGTTTTCATCAGGCGTAATGTTTTTTTCTTTGGTTTGTCATTGAGAAACGGCGGTTTGGAACCATTTTAAAAATGTGCTAGAAGGCTTGACACAACTGAAAGACATATTTAAAAGGTCAGAACAAAAAGAAAGAGGAGGATTTGATGAACTACACTTAGCGGGGAACTTTTGGTAGTCCGAGATGTAAGCAGGCCGCCAAATATGAAACTGCCTTCAGCGTAATAACATCAAAGTAAAATCACAATTCCTAATTCAGTTGGAAAAACATAGATAATTTTCTCGAAAGATAGTCTACATCATCTTTATTTTTTCGTTTTTCTAAATTTTCCTTAACAATAACTTTATCTGATAAATCTCATTACCTTGTTTCTAGTTTCTTTTCTTGCCCATGCCTGTCAGTCTGTTTCTTTATACATTGACGTTCTAATTTCTTTCCGTAGCTTCATTACCAGGAAGTTTTGTCTCAGCACGATTAATTATCTAGACACATCTTGGCTGGTTACGTTTTTGTTTTATAACCGCTCGTTGAATTCCCACGTTACAAGTGTTTTTTCTTGTAGTTACTCAGTGATATCGCAGAAGTATCATGTTTCTAGTAATGTTTGAATTTTTTTGTTGCTAAGCAGTATGTTAGGTTGAATAATGAAATATTAAGTTTTCTTTAAATGAGTAGGCCAGGCCTCAATTTTTGTAAGTAGTGTGTGCCTAGTCCTTAAGTTTACCTACAGAAATTATTTTGCTGTTACCTCTCATCAGTTTGTTGGGTTTTTCAAGTTATATTTTTGAAGACTTTCAAATAATACATTCATTTATTTCGTGAAACTTCCGTATTGTTGCAGTCAATTGTTTTAAATTATTATTACGCATTGTGAAAACCAACATAAAACATCTCATTGTCTTATTTGACAGCAGCAATACTTTGAAGGAAATATATAATAGGGATAATTCTTAAATGTGTATGAGGAAAATTATGCTTTCTTTCATATTGTATATCCCCAACTACTAGCAAATATCTCGAAGATAGATTTTCCAACAAAAGGTTGAATATGGCTGTCATATTCTGTTGTTGGAATTCATTCAAATCACTTTATAGGATTTTCACCCGATAAAAAATTTAGATTAAAAATGGTGACCTAAAAACCTAAAGTATATTCATATCATAAACAAGAACTTACCAGTTCTATACAGAACTTTAAGTGGCTGATCTAACGGTTACTTCATTATGTGAAGACGAAATACGTAATCGAATATAGAATTCGGTGTGTCTAGAATGAAATATTGAATTAACTCACAGGTCACCACTTTGTGGAAAAAACAGAACATACTTGTGGCACTAGTAATGATTTTTCCAACGAACTAAATTTCACAGCCATATGATTCTCGATGTGTAATTCAAGGGACGGAATGTTACTGAAGAATCTACGGTTGAAGGTCACAGCCAGTGGAATTCTGAGGATAAATGTAGAGTAGGGATAAGCAAATATGATACAGCATGGAAAACATTATACAGAAGTTGGAAAATATAATGAACAATTAAAAACGGATTACCTAGCCAGAAAATTTCCACGGAAAAACGTGAGTCACAGCAGAAAAAGGAAATCAGTGCACATTTCTTATGGACAAACAGCTGAGGTTTTAAAATATGAATTGCCTATACTGAAACTTTGCATCTGGTACTGGTTTTTTAAACTTTGAATCAGCTATGTTTAATCACTGTCCCGCATAGGTTAGCAGAAATCAAACTGGTGACATGACCTAAAACTGTATCAAGAAACTCAGTCAAATAAACGTAGAAAAGATAAAAGGTTTGTTCGTGATCCACTAAATAAGGAACTTTGATACAAAACTATTAAATAAATTTGACCAAACAATCAAATTTTGCCTAGCACAGAGATTATCTTTTTGTAATAGTTGACTTGTTTTATTGTCGGCCATCATGGAGTTGCAGGATGAAATAAGACTGTTTCTCATGGATTTAATGTAATTATCAAATAAACGCACCAACTAATTTTGATTTCGGATGAGTTTGGTAGGAGTGGAGACTTATTTTTCTGTTCTAGCTTTCTACAAAATATCTGTCAATCTAGTTGAACAAATTCTAGTCATGTGTAATTCAGTTGTCTTACTTTTCTGTTCCTGAATTATAGTAGCAATGATATCAGAAAAATCCAAATATAACAAGTGAAAAATCTTGGTCTGTATGTTGTGTAAACTATGGATGTTATTAAAAAACCGCTAATACTTTAAAGAAACTTATGAATACATTATTCAAGCAGGTAGGCGGAACCTATACAAATGACCAGATTTTGTCCATCTTAAACGACCTATTTAGATTTGGGAGGATTTTCAGTATTATTCAATAGTAATATCATTGTCAGTGTACTTTGAGAGATTTTGTTTTGATAAATACTTCATTCAAGCAGAAATAGTCAATTCATTACACATGTTGAGGTCTGATACCGCTGTGTTAGCATTAAAAGTCAAGCCCGAATACCATGACAACCAATCTAAACTATAGTCTTAAGGTACTGTTTCCTCAAAGCCCTACCATTTCAGTAAGGTTGACTTAAAAACAAGAAGGCTTTGATCGGTTTGTCTGAGCATCAAAATACTAACGAAATAATTCATATCCGATAGTAATATCATATTAGTTGTGAAAGTATAAGAGAACTGAGATGTTTTCTAAAGATAGTCATTATCTTCAGCCTTGACTTATTTCTTCAAAAGAGACCAGCTGTGAAAACAATGCACTGTTGGCTCAACAGATTACTGATTTTAGTATTGTAGTTGGTGCTTAGATGGTGAAACTGATTGACGTATCTGTGCTCTGATAAACTGGTTTTACTGATAACGAGTGATGATTGAAGGCTGATAGAAAACCTAGGTCGTTACAGGATTTGCATCATCGACCTCCATCAATCTGATGTTCTACTAAATGCATCACACACAGAGCTCCTGGACAGGTCTGAACTTCAAGTAGTGGAAGTTTTGTCCTTCTGCTATGTGAATCCATGGCATGTCATTCTCTGTTTGTTCTCACAACACTGTCTACCTATCAATGAACGTGGGTGGGAAGTATATTACCATTTAAGGCTTAAGTAAAAACCTGTTACTAGTTTTACATGTACATACAAAATTTTGAGCGTGTTAACGTAGAAAAAAAGTCTTCATAAAATAAGAAAGGAAGGAAGGGGTCTATTTTATGGTTCATCGTTCATGCATCAAAGCACGTACACCTTTAACTGACATAAATACCTATAAAA